ACATACATACATACATACATACATACATACATACATACATACATACATACATACATACATACATACATACATACATACATACATACATACCACTGATCTGGCAGCCAAGGCCACTCTGGTCAGTTTACAATAAGGTAAACAATAACAATGACAGAATAAACAAAAGTATACAACAATTACCAGGAGTGGCTTAAACAAGCAACGTCCTTTGCTTTGTTTATTGTGAAATCTAACCTAATAAGATCTCATGTTCCGGCTTGTTTCTCCTGAGCTAGCCATAGAAAGCAACCCTAAAATTATGAATTCTTGTGTTATTGGGAGAGAAGCAAGCTAGAATGCTGGATTCCTGCCAGATTTGAACATCTGGATTGTTCCATGGTTTATGTCTCTGGCTCTGGAGCCAAAGATTTAGAGTTTGATTCCTCACTGGGCCTCCTTGACAGTAGCTGGACTTGATGTTCCATAAGGTCTCTTCCAGCTCTGCAGTGCTAAGATAATTAGTTATCGATTTATGATAATCAACTAGGGATAAAATTCTGAGATATATTTGCTCACACTTTAAGCAGGAACCACTATGCCAGACTATAATAAGCCAAATTGTTCAAATGTGCCTACTTAGTTCTTAGACCATATGGACACGGACAAATCAGAATGGGATATAGAAGATGATAATTGCATTAGTAACAGGCAATGAATTGTACTCATTTCACACGCTAGCAAGGTTATTTTCAAAATCTTACAAGGCAGGCTTCAGCAGTATGTGGACCAAGAACTCCCAGAAGTACAAGCTGGATTTCAAAGGGGTAGAGGAACTCAAGACTAAATTACTAACATGTGCTGGATTATGGAGAAAGCCAGAGAGTTCCAGAAAAACATCTCCTTCTGCTTCATTGACTATGCCGCCTAGAGTAGTCCACCACGACTAGATAGGCGGGATATAAATTAAATAAATAAATAAATAAATAAATATGCAAAATTCTTTGACTGTGTGGACCACAGCAAACTATGGCAAGTCCTTAAAGAAATGGGAGTGCCTGACTACCTTATCTATCTCCTGAGAAATCTAGATGTGGGACAGGAAGCAACAGTTAGAACTGGATATGGAACAACTGATTGGTTCAAAATTGGGAAAGGAGGATAATAAGGCTGTATATTGTTCCCCGGCTTATTTAACTTATATGCAGAATACCTCATGCAAAAGTCTGGAATTGAGGAATTCCAAACCAGATTTAAGATTGCTGGAAGAAATAACAACAACCACCGATATGCAGATGATACCACTCTGAGGGCAGAAAGTGAGGAGGAATTAAAGAACCTAGTAATGAGGGTAAAAGAAGAGAATGCAAAAAATGGTCAGAAGCTCAACATCAAAAAAACTAAGACCATAGCCACTGGTCCCATCACCTCCTGGCAAATAGAAGGGGAAGATATGGAGGCAGTAACAGATTTTACTTTCTTAGGCTCCATGATCACTGCAGATGGTGACAGCAGCCACGAAATTAAAAGACACCTCCTTCTTGGGAGGAAAGTGGTGACAAACCTAGACAGCATCTTAAAAAGCAGAGATATCACCTTGCTAACAAAGGTCCGCATAGTTGGAAGTGAGAGCTGGACTATAAAGAAGGCTGACCACTGAAGAATTGATGCTTTTGAATTGTGGTACTGGAGGAGGGTTTTGAGAGGACTGCAAGGACAACAAACCTATCCATTCTGAAGGAAATTAACCCTGACTGCTCACTGGAAGGACAGATCCTGAAGCTGAGGCTCCAATACTTTGGCCATCTGATGAGAAGAGAAGCCTCCCTGGAAAAGACCCTGATGTTGGGAAAGTGTGAAGGCAGGAGGAGAAGATGACGTCAAAGGACGAGATAAAGTGTCACAGAAGCTACCAACATAAATTTGACCCAACTCCAGGTGGCAGTAGAAGACAGGAGAGCCTGGCGTGCTCTGGTCCATGGGGTGACAAAGAGTCAGACACGACTTAACGACTAAACAACAAAACAGGCGATGAACTGTCAACATAACAATGACCAGAATTTGGTTTCTGTAACTTGCCACAGTCAATTGTTGAGGTGCTGGGTTGTACCTAAGTCACGTGCCTGGCCACACACCTGATTGTGCAACCAAGATGCATCTCATCATTTCACTGTGGACAGTTGTGTAAACTTTATATGAACACCAACAGGATTCAGACCCTTAAGTTTATAGGTAAAAGAATGCTATTGCCATTTTGAAAGTTCATCACCTGTGTTATTCATGCAATTGCTCTCCTCTGTGTCTCATTTCATTTGCTCCTCTCATCATGTACAGTACATTGTGTATATTAACTTGTTGCCTCAATATAATACTCTGTAGCCAAAATCTTGTTGTATAGTGTAGCAAATCACTCTAGAAAAGTGGTTCTCAAACTTGGGTCTCCATATTTTTTTGACTGCAACTCCCAGAAATCCTGGCCAGCACAAGTGGTGAAGGCTTCTGGGAATTGCAGTTCAAGAACATCTGGGGACCCCAGTTTGAAAACCAGGGCTTTAGAATAGACCCATTGAATCAATGAGGTCTTGGTGAGTCTGCTTCTCTGTAAGTTCCATCAATTCAGATGAGCCTACTATAATTGTAACTTACAATAGTAACATAGTAAATTGCAATTAGAGTTAAATCACAATTAGAATAGATCCATTCAAATTAGTAGAACTTGCAGAGAAGCTGACTCACTAAAACCTCATTGATTCAATGGGCCTACTGTGGATTTAGTCTGTATAGCTGAAAAAGATCCGAATCCAGAAGAACTCATACAAAAACTTTTTTTTTGAGTTTTAATATTATCCAAAGACTCATTAATTTTTGTTTTGTGTGTTGAAACACACACAACATAGCTATCTTTTGCGCAATTATTGAGTTCCTGTATATTGTTATTTTAAATAATTCCTTATGTTCCCATCAGCCTATCCTGGTCTGTACGTGTTTTATAACCATAAAATGTTCATAGAAATACCAACAATTATTCATTCAACTGTGTCCATAAAAACCATAACATCAAAATATATCTTACAGAATCATATAAGTGATTTATAGTATGCTGTTCATATTAATGTTGTATAAGAAGTTTCCCAGTTCAGAAATTCTGAATGGCCTTTGTAACAAGGTTCCCTGAGGTGAAAGTGCTGCTTAATACCGGGTTGTTGATTGGGAAAACAACAGTCAGTACATTAACCTGGCTTACAGCATAGAGACTTAGTTGGATGAGTTTGGGGTGGTGATAAATCTGTTCTAGATTTGCCTGCCTAGATCGTTTCAAGTTGTACTCCTGCCTTACTGTATCTGGTGTGGTACTGTTAACTATAGTGTCATCTTGTATGCTGTTGGACATGTGTAAAGCTGAGCATTTGTCCACTACATGTTTTCAAGTTGTTTATTGTGCATTAAAATGTATTATATTAAATTATTATTTTTTTAACATAGGTCGTGAATATATTATCCCATCCTTGGCTCACAGGTTCATAGCAGAGATGGTGGATTTCTTTATTCTTTTCTTTATCAAGGCAACCATAGTTTTGAGTATTATGCACCTCAGTGGAATAAAGTAAGTTTTATCTATAATGTGACTGTATCCACTTTAGTTCCTCAGGCTATTAACAGCATATAGACATAGTTTTAGTGCATTAGTACATTTCTGAATAGAATGTTCTGTGTTGCAGTACTGATGAAGACTTAGGAGTGACTCTTCCATAAAAAAAAAAAATCCTGAGCAAGGAAAACTACACATTAAATATGAGTTCTAGTTTAGCCTTGTTCTTCACATGCTAGGCTTCTACTGTAGATATATTTTCATATGGAAATATCCTCAAATTGTGGATTGAAGTTATGGTAATCCAAAAACCATTTAACCATCTCACTGAGAACTAAACCTGTATGGAGAGAATACAGTATATTGTATGGGAAGAAGTATGTATGGTAAATAACCTCTTGATTTTATGTAGTTTGACTAAGATTGTTAATAGAGTATCTTAGTCTCTAAAGACATTTAAGTGCTGACTCTCTTGAATGTCTTTGGAAGTTACACTTTGAAGCTGAGGAAATGCAGTGCTTATTAAAGTTACTGACTGAGTACAACCATAGTCCTTGCGTGATTTCTGCTACAACATAATGATGAATACAGTATTATCGAGAGAGAGAGAAATCTATTTGAAAAACAGAACAATTCCCCCTTTAAACTATGAAATAACTTGGTAGCATTCTGTGTAATGTATTTGTTACAGTGTGTACTGATGCTCATATAGCACTGCATTGACTGTTATATATTGATCTACAATGCTGTTACATTTCAACAATATTATTATTTCTTCACATAATAGTAATGGTAGTAGCTCTTTCACCAGTTTGTGCTCTTCCCATTTTTTGTACTCCTCTTTGGATTACTAAATAACTGGCAATGCTGGTTAGGTCTAATGGGAGCTGGTACAGAACATCTGAAAGTACCAGGTAAAGGAAAGCTGTTATTAACAGTGCAGTGCTTTCATGAGAGAACTGGATCTCCTTTTCCCTCTATTGCTTATGTGGGGCTGAGAATGGTTGGCTTTCCTGAGGTTATCCATTACATTCATGAAGAGATCATTATATTATATTGCATTATATTGTATTACTGTATATTAGCTTTCATGGTTGTTTAGATCAGGGGTCTCCAAACTTTGGAGGGCTACATAATATATTTTCCATATTTTCAAGGGCCGAAGGAATCTGCGTGTCCGCACACTCCCACCTGCCTGCATGCACTCCTCACGCATGCACGCCCACAGGTGGGCCTAGCTGGGCTGGATAAAAGGCAAGGCAGGCCAGATATGGCCCATAGGCCATACTTTGGGGACCCCTGGTTTAGATACATAGTGAAATTTCAGTTTTCTGCAACATTGAAATGGATCTTTCCAAATTAATTAAGGCTGGATTTGTTAAAATCTGATTAAATTTTTACCATGATTTGTTGTTGAATTATCTGACTTAAAACCATTTTTTAAGCGGAATGCTTTTTCCTCAACCAAAATGCCTTTGATTAAAGGGGTCTGTAATATTCTGTGATGTATTCTGTTAGAAACCAGTAGCATATTATTACTTGGCTTACTAAAAATATTTTCTGGTGTAGGGATATCTCCAAGTTTGCCATGCACTACATTATAGAAGAAATAGATGAAGATACTTCCATGGAAGACTTGCAAAAAATGGTGATAGTGGCCCTTATCTACAGATTGCTAGTCTGCTTTTACGAGGTACCTGAGCCCCAACTATTTAATCAGTAACATCTATTTTAAAGATAAATTTCCTTAAACATCTAAGTACAAAATGGGCTTTTATGTTAAGAACCTATGATTTCATTTTAAATAACTTAAAAATAGTATAAGATTCATTTAGTAAATATTGAGGAGAGAATTCAGAGGACCATTAAAATTTATATTTAAAATGAAATGCCAAGGCTGCATTACATTCAAATTTAACCAAGCAACAGAATGAATAGAAAGTTAAGTAGATCTGACCAAGTCTGTTTCTTGATGCTTGGGACTGCAGTGTCAGGAGAGGAGTGCAGGCTATCCCTTCCATTCTCATAAACTGATTACATTAGATATTTAAGATTCTTTTTCAGGTGCATTAAGATCTCTGAACTTTCATAATATTACATAGGGTAAAATTGTTTTACATAGCGTTAAAACATAACTTTTTGCTGGTGATAAAATTTAAATGGCCTTTTCTTTCAGATTATATGTATTTGGGGTGCAGGTGGAGCAACCCCTGGGAAATTTCTTCTTGGCCTTCGTGTTGTAACATGTGATACATCTGTACTTATTGCACCAAGTCGTGTGTTAGTAATCCCATCCTCTAATGTGAGCATGACAACGTAAGTTTACTCTTTTTTTTTCATTTTAATGTTAACAGTTTACTAGATGATTCATAATTGTAATGGTCAGAATCTTACTGGTGCTGGCAGAAGGTTCACATAACTTACCATGACTGTGGCTAATTGATGAGCTGGTCTGGTACCTTTCGTTGTGCAATTAGGCATGCAACTAAGATATACCCCAGTACCTCATCAATTAGCTGCGCAAGTGATACAAACCTTATGTGAACGTTAGACATGAAAGCTTTGTATTCTTCTTCTCTGGGAGACAATTATGAAGCCCACCAGCACAGGTATCCCGGCGGTCCCTTCCCACCCCCCAGAACTAGCCTGGTCCATTCACGAGGCTCCTCGGCATGCATATGCCTGGCAGCAGTGACATCGCGGCAGTTGCAGATGTAGTCCTGCTGATGCTTCTCTGCCTCTCCCCTCAGCTGACCACTCGGCAGCTGAGCAGGGAGACTTGTCTTCCTGCCTCCTTGCCAGAATGGTCAGCTGTGGCACAACATCACTGCTACTGGATGCATGCATGCCAAGGAGCCCTGTGAGTGGACCAAGATGGTTCTGGGAGACAGGAAGAGATTGCTGGGAAACCTGTGCTGGTGGTCTGAATACAAAGCTCCCATGTCTAGTGAACATCTGCAGGATTCTGGCCACTGTGTAACTTGATATTTACTTGTTACTTATCTTTCAGTACTAATTTCAAACATGGCATACAACCCGTTTGATCCCTTTCTGTGTTTGTAAAAAATAAACCAACAGTGAAGTTAACTAGCAGTTTAAAAAAGACACTGAAAGTAATCAAATCAGAAAAAATGTTTTTGTACTAATAATACAAGCCTAAGGTAGAAATTCAATAATTCAGTATTCCTTGTCTTCCAGGGGGCGGGGACGACACTTCCCAAGGAAAAGAGTTGAGCTGTTTCTAATTCTAAGAAGTACAGTTTGTTTTAATTAGCAACAGCAACTGGCTGTTCAAAGGAATGTGTAATAAATGGAGAACCATGTCTATAACCATTCTTTAAGTATGCTAGCCTTACAAGTTGTAACCTACCCAGAGTAGTGCTGTGACACTAATGGGAGCAGGATACAAATTTAAATAAATAGATAGATAGATAGATAGATAGATAGAACATAAGCTCTGCTAGTCAAAAGGAAGGAATGCCCCTAATGCATGCTACTAGTGCTGTACGTTTTCTGAGAGGCATTCAGCTCATCTTCCTTGATGCTTTGTCCTGTGAAACCTAAGTGATGTATCCTTTTTAAATTATCTTTGTAAGTGTACAAATTAATTGGGCAAATCACATGTTAATTGGCTTTTACCAGCCCTCTGTGAAGGTATATGATAAAAATGAAAAGCAAAGGATGTGTTCCACCCACTCCCCCACCCAACTTCCAACTATTTCTGGTGTCCTTTCATTAAGACATTTCTCACTTCAACTCTACATTTACATTCCAAGTAGCAAGACCTGTTAGTCCATTTGAGTTACTCTTGAGCTTACTCTAAAGGATCATAGTGGCAATAATTAATGAATAAGTAATTCATCAGTATTAAAGCCATTGCTAAATGTTCTGAATTTTTTATGGTATGTCACTGAAATTCTTTACAAATGTGACCGATAATCTGGTCAAAAGGTATACAGTAGAAATATACGAGGTAATGTTTCCATGATAAAAGGCTCTTAAACCTATAAAATATTTTTATTGAAGTGGTATTATTTGAAAAATAAATAGATGAAATGTATTATTAAAACCTAATTAAAGTGGTACAGAAATAAATCTGCCTTGTAAGAATGACAAATCTGAATATGATATGGATGGATACTTCATACTCAGAATAATGTCCTAGACTCCAAGATGAAAGCAGTGATGGAAAAATTATTTTAATGAAAGCTGAGCTGTGTGTATTGGTCCTGAGAAACAGCATATTCTTCTGAGAAAAGGTCTTGGTTGTTCCAATAAATTGCTTTCTGTAGCAGTTCCATACTGTGTCAACATTCTTGAATCAACAACAAATTGTAGAGATACTGTTTTCTTCTTGCAGATCTACAATACGAGCTTTGATCAAGAATTTTTCTATCGCTTCCTTCTTTCCTGCATTCATCACCCTGCTGTTTTTCCAGCACAACCGAACTGCCTATGATATTGTAGCAGGGACAATTGTGGTAAAAAGGAACAGTATCAGATGATACCCAAGGAAACCTTGATTCTGCTTTTCAGACATGCTGATTATACCTTGTTGGATTTCTGAATATCACTCCAGAAGACTGCCAGTGATGTTAAGCATATATATTTTCTTCCAACAGTACTATGTAACCATTGGTGAAAAACAGCATTGGTTTAATTTGAGAGTATTTTGAATTGAGCATGAAAACTAGTTATCTTTGAAATACACTTAGCGTTTTAAATAAGAGTGTTGCTAGTGTGAGAGAAATGCTGATTCTACAGTTTTGATTTTAAATTAGATTTTAATTTTTAGGAAGATCTAAACTTGACATTACTGGAGGTAGCCAAAGGCATTACTGTGTTTGTGAAAGAAAACTATATTGCAAAGAATTATATATTCCATTTTTGGTGGACAGAGAAGAGTTTGCCACTTTATGAAAGCTTTATCATGGATTGCTTACACAAGCATTGTATTATTTTAACACTAGAAGCTCTGTAAACATTGTGTAAAATGTCTTGCATGAGGGGGATATCTTGCACATAGTACTATGGAATACGTCAGATAATATCATGGAAGACAATATAGCTAATAGCTTAAACAGGTAAATATTGAAAGCTCTGACAGTACAACTGCAGTTGAGATAAATTACATTTAATTATTTTCATAGAAATTTAAGAGCTTCGTGTAAAAGCACAGAAAACTTAAAACTAATGCAAAAATCTCTATTTTAGTTTCAGATGTATTTAATGAGAGCCAAAATAAGCCTGTTATAATTAGAGATAAGCTTATATATAGTATTTTGCGCCACTTTGTAACAAAATGGATTTTTTAAAAACAGTCTTTCTGTTGGTAAAGCAATACAGGGAATTGTGCAACATGTAGGAAAAACAAATAGGTACATTTAACCCATTGTGTGCCTACCTAACTGAAGTTATTGAATAAAACATATTTTGCATGATTTATTTTTACATTTGCAATATTAGCTAAATCAGTGTCAGATGTGATACACTTCTGTAAAAGTATTAGAATACTCTGTTAGTCTTATGCTCCCTGGGAATCAAATCCTACTTTATAGCTAGCACAGTATTTCTGGCCAACCAGTAAGGAGAATTGACCTACTGTAACAGAATTGAATTGCTTAAAAAATGTTCATACTTTAAAAAAGTTTGATTATTGTAACGTATACTGGAGATTTAATGCTGGAAAAGCATCCCATGTTTCAGACTGAAGCCATCTATTTTCTCCAGAAGCAGCTGTGTAATGCTGTCTGAAATTCGTATTCCTGTGCAAGTATCTAAAGCAGAGGTCTTGAACCTCTGAAGACAGAACAAACAGCTACAGTGGTAAATTTCCAGTGGTTGTCACAAAATATCAGCCACATTCTTACAGGTAGGCAAATGATTAGACTACAGTTGATGTAGAGAAGAAGCAAAGAAAATCACTATGTCTTGTTTTCAAGCAGTGAATGACCAAAACACTTTCAGAGGAAAGCACGCAAGAATAACTTTCTCACTTTTGCCCTAAATGGGTAATGTGTATACAGTGGTGCCTCGCTTAACGAGTGCACCACATAACGACGAAATCGTATAGCGATCCGTTTTTTCGGATCGCTAATGCGATCGCTTAACGTTTTTCTTATGGGGCACAATTCGCTTTGCGAAGACCGGTAAGCGTTTCGCTTACCGATCTTCGCAAAACGAAGCCCCGACGATCAGCTGTTCGGCGGCCAAAATGGCCGCCGGAAGCCCGGAAATGGCCCACAATGGCCGCGCGCAGCATTTTCGCGCCCTCGTTAAGCGAGGCGAGGGTGCGAAAATGGCTGCCGGCCATTACAAAGCTTCGTTGAACGGTGAGTATTTGGCTCATTTGGAACGCATTAAACCATGTTTAATGCGTTCCAATTGAAATCCCTGCCCCGTTCAACGATGCTTCAGCATAGCGAAGGTTAATCCGGAACGGATTAACCTCGCTATGCGAGGCACCACTGTACCTTGATGGCCAATGTGTATACCTAGACTGTTTTTCACATACACAGAAAAGTAGAAATACAAGCAAGATAGTTCTTGTGAAATTCAGGTATAGTCTTGACACTGCAGTTTTCAGCACTAGGAGTAAGTGCAACTTGAGGGCCATTTGGCTTCCAAGAATTTGCTAATGGGCATGTGAGAGTTAGGGATGTAGTGGTGCTGCGGGTTAAACTGCAGAAGCCTCTGTGCTGCAAGGTCAAAGACCAGCAGTCATAAGATTGAATCCACACTCGAATCCACGCAACGGAGTGAGCGCCCGTTGCTTGTCCCAGCTCCTGCCAACCTAGCAGTTCAAAAGCATGTAAAATGCAAGTAGATAAATAGGTACCACTTCAGTGGGAAGGTAACAGCATTCCATGTCTAGTCACGCTGGCCACAGAAACTGTCTTCAGACAAACGCTGGCTCTATGGCTTGGAAACAGGGATGAGCGCCGCGCCCTAGAGTCGGACATGACTGGACTAAATGTCAAGGGGAACCTTTACCTTTACCATAAATTTGTATCTATTACAGTAAAAGATCTGTTGCTACCCAAAACATAGTAGAAGTCTACATTCAGTTATTTTTAAAACCTGTCAGTTCCTCTCAGGTAACTCCTGGTGTGTGTTGAGAAGGAAGCACTGCTTCATGTTTGGCTTTTGGTTAGCTTAGTTACAGTTAGTTTCTGCTGGGAGTATGTAGTTTATCTGTTTCAGTGTGATGGAATAATTTGTTCATTCTCCATTATGAGAAACAACAGAATGCCTTACCCTTGGAATGCAACTAATCATTGTCGTAATAATAAAAAAAGTGAGATACATAGCAACGTTGCTTTCTAGCTATAGGAAACAAATAGATGAAACACAGAAGTGTTTATGCTGCAGCCCATTGAAAAACTTGCTATTAGGTTAGTGGTTGTGGATTTCAGGTTTTAAAATCTGAGGGTTTTATGCCAGCATTCCTGTTCTGCCCAGTATTAGTGAGATTTAAGGGCCACATTTTGTACAGTCTTCTCCATAAAACTGAAGGGTAAATTTCTACATTTTCAACAACTTATAGCAGAAAGAACAACTTACTTGATTATTGAGCGTTTTGGCAACGATATGCTGTGGTTTTGTTACTAGTGTGGGATTTTATCAGACCAGTGTTCAAGCCAGTTGTCTGTATGAGTTTTCTTTCACCATATGCAAAGATTAGATTTTCTGAAAATGTTCAACAGTATACCTTCCTCTCCACATATAAGACTGGTATTGTAATGTGGGGAAGGGGGAACAGAACAAATGAATAGAATTTGGAAGAATCATGAAAATCTTTTGTAATAAATGAAAATTACAAGCTGTTTTACAGTCATAGCTTTATAGAACATGTGCTATCATACGCATCTGAAAAAACAAACTTCTGTGTTCTAAAGATCTGTGGCTTTTGCTCAGTCAGTTTATACCACTTTCCAAATATCTGTAAGTACCATTTTTGGTATCTTATTTCTAATTAAAGGGCTTCTAAAATTTCTGTTTCTGTCTTCATATAAAATTATTGGAATAGGAGTTTGAACAAAAATACATTTTTACATCAATAATAATTTTTCCATGTGTAAAAGGTCTAAGTATTACTGACCTGTTTTTAAATTATTTATTGGTGAATTTCTGTTAAGTAGCAAGACATTTTTCGATTTGCAATACCCATTACATGTGTCTGAAGGTAATGTCAAGTTGCACTGATATCCCAGTCGGCAGCTTTCAAATACTGTATTTGCATAAAAATAAGCTGATTCTTCCCAGTTGTGACAAGCTCAATGAAATGTTCTCTCCAGAGAGAAGGGAAGTGGCTCTTGTGCACCTCAGTAGCCAGGAAGTAAATATGGCCTTACACAATCTATTTTAGCCAGCCTACTTACTCCCTTAAGGCAGCCTAAGGGAAGCTGCAGCCGCCATCTTTGTAAAGGGCAGCCGGTCTCCCTTTTTACATTTGTGGCTGGTAGGCCAGAAGCAGATCTCCGCAGCTGCAATTAAGGTAAGGGGGTGTTGGTAGGGGAGGACTAAGGTATGGAAAGGGAGGGGGTTGGGGGGCTCGGCTGTTGGGGTGGATGACTGTGTGTGTGTGTCTGCGTGTCTGCCTTTCTGCTGCCAATCAGTTGATCGGTGGCCGGTAGGCAGAATGGTTGTGGTTTTTAAAATAGGAACGGGGTGTCGGTGGGGTAAGGTAGGGAGAGGAAGGGGTGGGGGTAGGCTGTAGGGTTAGGTGGCTGTGGAGGGTGGTGGCTGTCTTTCTGCAGCCGGTAGGCAAAATGGTGTTTTGGCTTTCTGTTTTTAATAGGAAGGGACTGTAAGCAGGGCTGGGGGGTGGAGGGAGGGCGACAGGTGTTTTTTTTTAAAAATAACCCCTTGTGAATCGACAAATATATTTGCTATTCGACGCTTCACTGGAGCAACTTCGTGCTTCATGAGTTGTCAGCTTTTGACGACTCATGAAGTTGGACGACTCACCAAAATGGTGAGTCGTCCCCATCTCTAGTCACTAGCATCAAACAATGTTTCACATTACTTTAACTACAATATTTGCTTTTTTAAGCAAAGTGAATGAAGTCCTTGGTATCTAAAAATATGGTTTCTTGCCGTCATAGGCCTGAACAAAATTATAGAACCCTTATTGCAGGCTTGGTGTCCATTGTGATGCAGAGAACAGAGTGATGGACTTAGAGTCTGGAGGCTACAGTTTGAATCCCCACATGGCCATGGAAACTTGCGGAGAAGTGAAACTGGTAAAACCACTCCTTAAATATCTCGCCTTGTAAGCCCTATTAGGGTAGCTAAAAGTCAGTTTTGTCTTCACAGCACATAACAATTGCCAGTTTGTACTCTTGCGCTCGTATGGGTGGAGACACATAAAATTTTATTGTCCGCGTTGGCTAAATGTTAACTCTGGATACCTCCTCTTAATTGCTGTCTCTTCTTGCTTGTGGGTTTCCCATAGACAGCTGATTGGCCACTACAGGAAATAGCTGAGTAGACAGGGCTTGTTGGGGCTATAGCCGCTGGGCTTTTGTGTTTATTGTGCTTCTCTTGCCAATTCTCCCTGAGGCCCTCACTCGTACTTCCAATATGAAATATGAGGCAATCAGGCAGAGTTTACAAAATGATGTTCCCTCACAGGACTAACAAGCAGGAAAAAACAGTGTAGCCCTATTTTAAGGGAACAACACATCCCATTTGTTTTTGTCCAGTAAGACCTGTTAATCTAAAAGATGCTGTAAAACTCTTATGTTTGTTGCTGTAGACTTGCAAATGTTCAAGAATGTAGCTGTATCAAATTGCATCAAAGTGTAACACACTGACATGGATTACTTTAGTTTTAACTATAATTTGTGTGAAGTGTTTATAGAAAATATAACAGTTTGAGAAGAAATAACGAGATATAGACTAAGCCTATTGGGTCAAACACAAATGTTTAGTCTCAAACCCATGGTGTCAACTGGACTTATAAAACTGACCTACCACTCCCTCTCTGACTCAATGGGTCTGCCCTAGCTGAGACTGGTAACTGCATTTAGGTCACTATATTTGCCTGTTTATGGGGAATGGTAACATCTCTGTCTTCAAAGAAAAAGAAGCAGTATAGCCTGACTGCTACCCTCTTCCCAAGATTAAAATGCCTGTTTATTCTTCACACCTTCTTGCCTAGAAAGAGCCCATCCCCAAGAAAGTCTGTAGATTAGATTAATAAATTAAAAGACCACAACAGTTCTTCTCGTCCCCTAAGACAGTAGTCCTCAACCTTGGGCCTCCAGATGTTCTTGGACTACCAATCCCAGAAACCTTCACCACCACCTTGGCTGGCCAGGATTTCTGGGAGTTGAAGTCCAAGAACATCTGGAGGCCCAAGGTTGAGGACTACTGTCTTAGGGGACGAGAAGAAC